CTCCCATTTTCCTCGCTCACGCCGTGGACGATGAAGTCATTGATATCAGCCTTGGTCGGCAGATGCGGATGACCCTTGATTCGTTTGCCAGTTCATGTACGGTGGAATGGCGTGAATACCAATCTGGGGGTCACTGGGTCAACGAGCCGCAGGGTGTGGATGACATGGTCAGCTTTCTGAGACTCCATATGCATTGAAACGGGCTTCACATCCCACACCATCATAACCAAACTGAGACTTTGTACCGGGTGCGAGCTGCTGTTCTGTTGCTTGTTAGATGCCGTGGCATGTATGAGCAAGTCTCGGTTCTCAGATGGACGTTACCTCTCAACGCAATGCTCACCCGCGTTCACAGCCCGAGAAAGCATTGGAGTACACGTATCATTACATGTATATTCCATCATGCCTCAGCACGAGATATGATGCCTATGCTAGACGCCATGCCATGCTATGCCATGCGCTCTATGCAATATTCTCCGTTCCCCCAGAACCTGATGAGCTTCTATCCCAAAGCTCGGAGCCATCCAAGGCAACGCCATATACCTCTAAGCGGAAACGTATGATACTACGCTCAAATCAACCACTATCCCCTTTCCACGAGGTGACCATATCGGGTTCCCTTAAGACTCAACCTCCATCTCCAAATCCGGATCCACCTCCGTCCCCAAATCCCTCTCCTCCAAAAACCGCCTCCCAACAAGCTCATCAGGCAGATACTCCTGCCTCACCCTGCCCTCCCGATAATTCGGCGGGTACTTATACTCAGCCCCGTAGCCCATCTCCCTCATCAACCTCGTCGGCGCGTTCCTCAAATGCAGCGGTACAGGCAACGCCGCCGCGCCAGGCTCCTTGAGCGCCGCGTAGGCATTATTCAGACCCCTATACGCCCGTGTGCTTTTCGGCGCGAGACTCAGCGCCACGGCGCAGTGTGCAAGAGGGATCCTAGCCTCGGGCATACCGATCTGCTGTGCGGCGGTGTACGCTGCCGTCGCGAGCGGAAGGAGAGTATTATCCGCCAGGCCGACGTCTTCAGAGGCGATGACGACCATCCGTCGTGCTACGAACAGGGGATCCTCGCCGGACTGGAGCATGCGTGCGAGGTAATACAGGGCCGCGTCGGCGTCTGATCCGCGAACGGCTTTGTGGAAGGCGGAGATAGTATCGTAGTGCTGGTCGCCTGCGCGGTCATACACGAGCGTCTTGGTTAGAGAAGCCTTGATGCTCTCCTTCGTCGTCCCGGCGCGCGTCGAGAGCGAGAGTGCCAGCTCGAGGAGGTTCAGCGCTGTGCGGGCGTCGCCGTCCGAGAAGGCAGCCAGATACGTCACGAGCTCCGCGTCGACGAGCGGGCTACCGGGGAAGTTATTCGTTCGCGCCTCTTCGTCGATAGCGCGGAGGAGGATCCTTACCACGTCTTCGCTGGAGAGCTTGGAGAGTGTAAACGTCCTGCACCGCGAGAGCAGCGCGCCCTGGACTCGAAAGGAAGGGTTCTCCGTCGTGGCTCCAATGAGTGTAATCGTGCCAGCCTCAACGGGTTTCAGGAAAACATCCTGCTGAGACTTGGAGAAGCGATGTATCTCGTCGCAGAAAATAATAGTCTTGCGGCCCGTAAGAGCACCCTCGTTGGCCGCCTCCGCAAAGAGCTTCTTGCACTCGGCCACGCCAGACGATGTAGCATTCATCTCGATGAAGCGCGAGCCGACGCTGTGCGCAATACACCGCGCAATCGTCGTCTTGCCCGTTCCCGAGCCACCCCAAAGAATCATGGAGGGAACCCGGTCTGACTCGATGAGGCTGCGCAGCACGCCGTGCGGGCCAACGAGGTCCTGGCCGCAAACTTCGTCTAGGGTTCTTGGACGCATGCGCTCTGCCAGTGGCGCCGCGCGGGCTGTCTTTGTGCGCTTTGCCGAGGGACCGGCTTCTGGTGGTGGTTGTGTTTGTTGGGTTGCCTCGCTGTCTGTTTCGGTGGCCGTCGCCATGGGAGAGGGGAGCTCGCCTGGCCCGTCGTCGAATCTTCGTTTCATGCCCGCCATGGGCCGAGTAGTCGTCGCCGCTGCTGTCGTCGTCGTCGTGCCGTTGGACGGGGTCGTGGAGACTTTGGCGGGAGGGGCATGGCGCTTCGGTGCGGGAGTCGAGAAGAAGGAGGAGGCGGGCCGTTTGGCTTGTGATGAGGTAAGTGTAGAGCCGGGGGTACCGTTGGCTTGTGTCGCTGTCGGCGGGGAGGATGTTCGTTCGGGGTTGAAGATGTGGTTTTGGCAGCCCGAGTCGATGTGGGAGTTGATCAGCGTCTCCTTGACGGGTTTGTTGCAGATGGGGCAGTCGACTGCTGCCATTTTAAATGGGTGATGGTGCTGTGACGCATGCAATGGGGTCTTCTTTGGCTCAGAACTGATTGCTATGTATGTGAGTTAGTCCGGATTCGTCAATTCGTGTCAAGTCGACGATATTGGGGCGACTATCGCGATTCCGTGTGAACTTGGAGGTTGAACTCTGACTGGAGGAGACGCGCCTCTGGGGGAATTTTTGAGTGCAATGACGCGCCTGGCAATGGAGCTCGAAATTCTAGTGGGGCACGGGACGCCTCGCTCCGCACTTCAGGTACCTGCCCCAAGTAAATAGGTGCCTCCACTGCCGTCTGGAGGCGACTGCCTGTGCCGGGGGTGTCGATTCACAGCCGTCGGGTAAGAAGCCGCGCTCTCTTCCACAAGTGGGGGTGCCCGGCACTCGGATTCGGTCGGAGATACACTGTGGTTTCCGTCCGCACGCCATGCTCGGCATACGGACAGGCGAATGATCTCATTGAAGGCGGAACAAGACAGCAAATTGATTCACTTCTGAGGTCCAATTGAGAATAAAACTAATAATCTCAGTGATTCGCGCCCGGTTGATGAGCCGGGTCTTCTCGTAGGTATCATTACATCTGTATAAAACGCCTCCCAATGCCTAGTCCTCCAGCCCGAAATTTCAGAAGTGCTCGGAATGGAGCCGTGATGTACAAAGACGCCGTAGCATGAGTTAATGCCGGTGCCGGTGCCGTTCACCGTCTCCCCTTCTCTATGATGCAGACGACGGCCATGTATGAAGTGTATCTCGAAGCCATTGACCCGCTTTCGAAAGCAGCGCATGCTCATGCTGTCTCTTCTCTCGCTGGCGACTCATTCAGTCTTTGCTGTATTAAAGAAGTCCACTCAAACCATGAAAGACTCGCCGCAACCACACTGCTCCTCTGTTCATATCGTTAGCATACCACATCTCAAGGCGGCAAAAAGCAACGTAGACTCACTGATGTTCGGGTTCTTAAACACAAACCGCTGGCTCAGCTTGTCCTCAACCCAATCCATCTCGCTGCCAATAATGCTGAACAGCGCCTTGCTGTCAATCAACACCTTGACACCATCCTGCACCACCTCCTCGTCGAAGCTCCCCGGCTTCTCGACGTACTCGAGGTGATACGCCAGGCCCGAGCACCCCCTGTTCCGCACGCCGACCTTGATCAGCTTCGGCTCCGGCTGGTCAAGCATCGCGCGCAGCTGCTCTACCGCCGCGGGGCTAAGCTTCATCGCCGCCTTTCGGGCGCGGAGCGTGCGCTTCGGACGGGCGGCTGGCTTGGGGGTTTGAGCCGCTTGTTCGGAAATCTTTGGCGCGGGGGCTGCGGCGGCGGCGGTTGCTGCTGATGACGTCGTCGTGACCTTGGCTGCTGCGGATGTGGTCGCTGCTGTTGTTGTCTTGGTCGTCGAGGACTGTGTGGCGGAGGAAGAAGAGGAAGGTGTGCTCGGTGTCGAGGATTGTTGGTGGGCTGTCGTCATTTGCGAGGGGATCTTGGGGGGTCTCGTCTCGTTGACCTTCGGTAGAGCATCCGGCGATGCGATGGAGCTCTCGGGGATGCCGTCGCCTCTCGCCGGAGGGAGTGTGTTGTTTGAGTAGAGAGGGTATGACTGGAAAGACGGGCTGCCGTAGGCGCGACGAGCAGAGGCGCACTGCAATGCCATGCAGGAGCGGCGGAACGCCACTCTGCTGAGTATCCTCGGTGCATTCATCTTTGTGCTGGAGGTTGTGTGTTTGTATTTGTGACGGACTCGAGTTTGCTAGAGAGAATCACAGCAAGGTGAGGTTGCTTCCGTTTGGTTTTGTTATATTTGTCGTCGCACGATCAGGTGTTGAGGTTGAGAGGGTTGGAAATCATTCGACGGTGACGAGAGAAACAGGCGGGAATTGTAGGTCGGAGGTTTTTGCGGTCGGGATGGATTGGCAATGGGAATGTGGCTGGCACTCAGAGCAAAGCAACAGAAGCTGGGGCCAAGGGGGGTCATTTGACAGGTTCTCTCCGTGGCGCGGCTATGACATGGTGAGCGGTCCCCAGTATACCGGGTTCTCTACAGCCAATCAGAGACCTACAATTTGTCAACGGCTGGGACAGATGACAAAGCAGCCACCTTTTCTTCAGTGCCTTTTAGGCCTTGGCTCTTGCTTTATTTCTCATGACCAACAAATACCTTGAGGGCCTCAAAGGTATTATTCATTCTTTACTTATCCAAGGTAGTCAGGTACTTTGTTTGTACAGCGTTACGAGTTTCCTGGACTCTCGGGGAATCGACGTGGTTCGAGATTAGGTTCGCCCGGGCTGACAAGGAAGAGCTCTACATCCAACCCCCAGCAGCCTGTGGAACCTTTCTTGATATGCCAAAGGACAACCTTGAAGGTTAAGAGCCCGAGGTTGGCAGCAACCAGTAACAGTCTACCTCGTGAGGCTGGCATCGTGGTCGACCAGTCTCAATTTAGCATGCCAACCACCGATCAATACCACTCCAACACCATAATTCATGAGAATCATCTCGGGTGTCATTGATATCATACAGTCTATCACCCATCCTTCCATGCCTCACAGCTCACCGCTCACAGCTCACCAACTCTCACCTTTCCACCAACCCTCTCACATCAGCAACAGCCGCCCTCGCCATCTTCTTCAACAACGTCCTCTCGTCCGCCTCCCGGTACCGATCCCACGTATCAAGCCCCTCTTTCGCCTGTATACTCAGCGTCTCATATCCTTGCTTGATCACCTCCGTCACCTGCATGCTCGTCAGGTTCCCCTTCTTCTTGCCGCCCTCCGCAAGCAGCTCCTTGTAGTGCGTGCTCACGCTAATAAGCGTGTCAATCGAGTTGCTCGGCCGCTTGCCGAGCTGATAGCTCTCCTTGAACTTGGTCAGCGTGTCGCCCGCCTCGACGACCTTGTAGAATAGATCATCGTATGCCGCCGGTGACGGCAAGAATCCTTCGCCAGCCGAGAGCGAAAGCGCGACCAGGTTGACGACATTGTCTAGCAGGAGGTCGATTTGCGAGAGGTCCTTCAGGTCCGCGACGTATTGTGTCAGGAACCGAATTAGGTTCAGCAACGCGCGGAACAGATCCGCCCAGTGATACGTCAGTCGCGTCCGTGACCTTGAGAGATAGGAAATCACCCGCAGCAGGATGCCGACGCAGAGCGTGTAGAGCCCGACGTCCAGCCTCCTCCGAAGATTGTGTGTGATACCGTCCACCATGGTATCCAGCACGGCTGTCGCCAGGATCCGGTCCCCTCTGACCAGCGGGAGGAACGGTTGCCTCTGGCGACACAGACGGACCTGCCCCTTGGACTCTTCGCTGCATATCCGCTTGCATAGCACGGGGTCCTCGATTAGGAGGCGGAAGACCATTAGGTTGAGATGCGAGTAGTGTGTCGTGCGTTCGGAGAGATGGGCATGCTGGAGTAGGTAGGACGTGAGTGATGTGAAGGCTGCCAATGGCTGTTCTTCGCCCTTTTCGGCAGGCAGGGTGGCGAGGTTGAAGCAGAACAGCTTGTTGGCGTGGGTAAAGTCATAGGTTGCTAGCAACACGGCTGCTTCCTCGCCGGGTCTGCTTCTTGTCAGTTGCTACATTTCCTCACACCAAGGTCAGCTAGAGGATACTCACAGCTTTGTAAACATCTGCTTCATGGTCTCGGCATCGTAGACGGGCTTCTTTTCCGGCTTAGGACCCCTCGCAACCGCGCCAAGGCCCATCATGCGTAGTGTACCGTTGAATGTCCACCCCTCGGGCAAGTCATCTTGCACATCCACGAATTGTGTAGTCAAGCTCTCGCACGTCTGACCTATGCACCGGATGATCTTCTTGATTGTCGCCTCGTTGACAAAGTCGTTTAATCGCATCTGGTAGGGGTTCTGGAACTCGAATTTGTTGTAGTTTGCCAAGAGGCCAAGGAGGGAAAAGGGGCTGAGGATGCGCTCCGTCGTGTCGGTGTCTTGTATGAACTGCGGGATCGTTAGTTGAGGCTCACACAAATTGCAAGGGTAGAATGATCCGACCTTCATTACTGAGGGGAAGAGGTCTCTCTGGATAAAGTATGTCAAGAGACTTGTCTGGTATGCGCCCGCCGTCACAGCCAGGACAACCTCGACCGCCTTTTGTCGCAATTCCACTGGAACGCGTTAGTCCGTCTCATAATTGACCGTAGTTGCTTTCCCTTGTGCCAAACTCACAGCTCTTCCCACTCCTAATGATCTGGTCCACAGCGCCCACAAAGTCCGTAAAGATCGTATCGACATAATCGATCCCAGCCAAGACGATGATGATATCCGAGCTAGGGTGCGCATACTTTTTCGAAAGAGCCGAGCACAGGAACACACTGAGTGTCTATCATCCCATTGAATCCAAGTCAGCAACTCTATCAGCAACTTCTAAACCTCGCCCCGGCGCAAAAGCCAAGGAACGAGGTTGTTCCGCTGGTTTACTCACGTCAAGCGCATGCAGATCTGCGACACCCTGTCCACTCTTCATGGCAGTAACAGCGCGGGCGAAAAGCTCCCTAGTATGCTCCTCCAACGCAAGCATGTCCGCCGGCCCCAGGCCATCGAGGATTCGTTTCAAGGCGGCGCGGTCGGGCCGCAGGAGAAAGAACTCGCGCCAGAAGCCCTCGGAGCGTTCTGCGTCATCTTCGGCATCCTACTCAATCATGGAGTTCGTATCAGCGGGTTGCCAGTGTACAGGGTCGTGCTTCTTTGCTTAGCAGTGATGTTTGGGAAGGTACGGCCATGCGGTCCGGAAGTTGAAGATCGTCAAGGGGGAATGCTCGGTCAGGCGCAATGGGGGGAGCTCGGGATTCGTGGGTATAAAGATCGAGGAGAACACACACCTAGGGAGAAAAGGTTAGCTACAAGGCCTACATGAAATCGGCGACAGAGTACCTTGGACACACAAAGACATGGTCGAGGGGTCACAAAGGCAGGGAGAAGCGGAGCTGTCGAACCTTGAACAGCGACTCGTACAGCTGTACGATCTTGGGTTTGAAGACCTCGGGCGGGGCCTGACGGGTCAGCGGTGACGCTTCCATTCCCGAGCTATGGCGATCTGTGGCGAGGAGGACGAGGAATTGACAGCCCAAGGTTTCGAGCCGGAGGCAGCGGGAGGAGGGTAGGATAATCTGTAAATGTTTGGTTTTGGGGGCTGACGACGTCGGTCCGGCAGCACGCGAGCTTACCGTTGCGATACGCGTTCCGATAAAAAAAAAAGATGGAGAGGTCCCCGTTACAGCTCAGGGTTTCTGCACCGTTTGCTACCTGTAATAGCACGGTTTTAAACGGGCATCTGCTAACAGATGATACAGTGCTTCTAGAAATGATGACTGTACTTGCACATGTGCATTCTCCCCCTGAACTCGGGCTGCCTCCAAAAAAAGATCGGGACACTTGTCCAGCGCCAGAAACATCCATGGCATGTTTCATGCACGGGCGCATCATAATCCAGGCTTTCTCCGTAGGGCTGATATTGAAATTTTAACTACAGGGCCCCTGATCCAACCATCTTCCCAATCCCCAAGGCCGACGCCTCTGTTCCATCACCTCCGCATCCTGCTCTTTACCTCTCCCAAGAAGCGACCGGGTCACCAAGGCAATAAAAGTTACAACCCAAGGTCTTTCCTATCTTGGCCGCATCGAGAGTCGAGTCAGCGAGAGAAGAACCGCAGCCTGCGCTCTTCGTGGTTGTTCGAAGCCTCGTCTTTCATTTCTTGCGCCGAGTAATTCTCAAACTTCCTGGGTTGCTGAGGCACCTGCTTGGGCAGAATTGATTTCTCTCTTGCCTTGAAGACTCGGCGCATCTCTTGTTCCTTTGCGGTAGCAGCATCTCTGTCGGGGCCCGGCGACATTTGAGAAATGTGTCGCCGAGCAGCAAACTGCCGCTTACGCTCCGCCAATCTTCTTGACCACCATGAGTATTCAGTCTCTTTTCCATCCGGGAGTTGAGAGGTATTCGAAACTCCTGGGCCTTGAAGGCTTTCCGAATTCTGACTCTGGGGCGGAATCTCCGAATGCTCTTTCGATGTCTGTTGGTCCAGCTGAGGGTTGGCGCCAGCATCCGTGGCTTGGTCCGTCTTTGGGTGCTTAACAGGTACCCATATGACCAAGTTGAAATCCGCCGGCTCTGGACCTTGGTCGGACTCCACGAACGATGCAATGTGGTCAGCGAAGGCTTCAATCTCTTCGAGCGCATCCTGACCCAAGATGACATCATGGATACAACTCTTAAGAATATGGAATTGGAAGGCCGCATCATCACAACTTAATGGAGAGCTCGACTGGCCCATGCAGGCCCAATGTGCCCATGCAGGACCCATTGTGTTTTCCATTTTGCCGTCAGGGAATAGCAAAAGACGTTGATCATTCCAATCAATGGTGCCATGCCAATTCGTATGGCGGCGCGCAAAGCTGGACGACAGGAGGTTTGACTCAGAACCTGAGTCGGCAAGTGCCAGGACTGCAACACCGCCGATTGTACCTTGAAGCCGTTGACTAACAGATTTAACATTGCTTGCGAAGAGAACCGATGTTGCCCAAGGAAGTCGGGGAGCTCTGCTCAGACAGGCACGGTGTTGGTTCATTGTGCCCGAAGTTGTGAGAAATTCGCTTCCTAGGACAACATCATGAGCGAGATCACTGATGACCTGGAACGCGATTTTCCAGGATTTATCTGGATCATATGCGAATTTCCATACAGCATTGACGGTACCGGCACTCATGATGGTCTTGCCGTTGGCCATGCGAAGACCTGTGTCTTGAGCCTCTGACAGGCCGGGTGGTGGCTCAAGACCGAGTCGCTTGGCAAGCGAAGAAGACACCAAGTTGCAGCCAGCGCCAGTATCGGGAATTGCATTGACCAGTTGTCCGTCTACTGCTCCTCGTGCCATAAGCATGCCGTCTGATGCGGACCCTGGCATCGTAAATGTGTTTGCTAAAGGCAATTTCATTCCTGTCAGCTGCATTGTCTGGGGCAAAGTGACTAGAAGGCTGTGTGGTGCGTCCTTACATGTACGGTCCCCAGACGCGATGAAATCGGCATATTGTCATCTCAATGTTGGGTTTGAAAGGACCCGATATACATTTCGTATGCGGCCGAGTTCGATCTCGCATACGGACCTCGTACAGGAAAAGTATGTATGGAGTTTCTGTCTATAAGCTGCTTTAACCTCAACTTGCTTGGTATTTTCTGGTATGTCCAGAAACTCGAATAACTCATCAGATTTCCGGAAGCGAACCATCTTGGACGCTTTTGACGTATATAAGGACCGTCAACCTAGGCAACGTCTGCGACGTTTAAGGCGGGAGAGAAACAGGTCAGCTCGCTGCTAGAGGTAAGACGACATCAGGCTTTGATATTCCTGACAATGGCTATTCAGGTTTAGCTACGCCCCTAACAAGACACCCTGGTAGGGGGGTGATTGGTCAATTCGTCTCCAAGGCATACTTGCACATTAATACCAGGCATCCAACCAAGAGCTCCCTTACTCATGGCAGGCAGCTGGGTTGCCTTGATACCCAAGTCCGTTTTTCACTTCCAGGTGCCCATCAATGCAGGTAGATCTTGGCGTGCACATGATGAAACAATCCTCGCCAGAAAAGGTCTGATCAAGATACACCTATGCCTTGCTCTTAAGAGTACAGACCGATTGCCCGCTCTTGACCCATTATCCTCCCATATTCTCAGAGAGTGGCAGCCGCGAGCACAAACGAATGTAGCAGTTCGACTGCACAGAGGTCACGTCCCAAATGGCAGCCGTACCTCCCGGTTCATCAAGCCACGCAGCTTTCGCGGATTTCATTGCCTCTGATCCCGAGCTGCCCGTATTCAGAAGCTTCCAAGCTCTAAGCGCTCGGAACCTCCTTCACCTGCAGTCGAAAATGCTGGAGATCGAAGCCGAGCTGCAAAATTTCGACGAGGATGATGCCGTAAGCGTCAGCGAGACTAGCCGTCTCGCCACAAGGTGCTGAGAAGTATTTGCAATAAGAGCTCAAGAAAAGGATTTAAGAGAGGCCAAGAAGATGGATCTTGTGCATCGACTACAAGGAACCATAAAAGAATACCGTACGTTCCTCGAAATCTGATCATGAGCGTAATCGTTGTGACGGGATATAGATGGGGCTTGGGTTTTGCGAAGCCAAGTAATGAAGTTCACAACCCCCAACGATCGAGTCTTTCACGTCTTTCAGGGCTGGTTCGACTCCGAACAGCCCTTCCTCGGCCAAGGCCACGATCTACCCAGCAAACGAGACGACTTCATCGCCCTCGCTCCATCATCAGGCGCAGATTTCCTCACCCGAAATCTCGAAGATCTCGCAGGGAGATACCTAGCGGTACGTCAGTCCTTCTCTATCACAACCTCGCCGGATAGTTCATGATAGTTCGAGCCAGGGGAAACGACACAAGGAAACAACAGAAGTAAAATACTACTCCGCCCGTCACGTCACCCGCCTCGTCACAATAATCACCGTCCTCGCCGCCTCCCTCGTAATCCAAGCCGCCGTCGTCACCCTCTACCTCGTCCACAACGAAGTCCTACGCCTCTGTATGATCGCCGTCTTCACCAGCGTCTTCGCGGCCAGCTTAGCCGTCATGACGGACGGGCGAAGGACGGATATCATCCTGGCGACGGCGGCCTGTGCGGCGGTGCCGGTGGCTTTTGTCGCGCAGGATTGAGGTTTATAGTAATTATAGGATTCGATTTCCCCAGTTGCAGTTGACTATTCAAGTCGAAAGCTGGGAATACTTACATACCTTAGTGACTGAGATTCTTGGGAGGTTAGACCTCATCTCAGCATGGAAACGGCCGACGCCGACCTCGTCGAAGGTGTGACGTTGTGGGTCCGGCTGGAAATGGGAGAACGGGCTCCGGCCGGCCCCGCACCAAGTACTAGGGCTCACCCTCGACGCTGGGAGCACTCCAAGAAGAACGTTTTGGTTTGGGTAGGTAATATGGACCATCTTGATTACGATGATGGCGGTGGTGGTAGTAGTGGTAGGTCTGGCTGGCAGTAGCATACAGCCTATCTTACGCAGACGTACAGTCAAATTAACTTGGCTCGAAGGTGGATGTCTTTGGTTACCACAAAGCCTCGTTTCCAGAAAGAAGACACCGACCAATTCACAGCGAGTTCACACACGTTCACATATGGAAGATTGCCAATGAGACCTGGTAGCAACATTTCTTTATCTCCCATTGAGAACGAAATCCTCTCCAGACTCAAGCGGAAGCACCAACCTGCAGCCATCCATCCTTCAAGCTTTCTCTTCATGCTCGCTCATTACTCGTCAATGGAAAAACATGGGAACTAGACTTGATTCACGGTTGTGATTATTAGAATTGATTTGTATACGTTGGATGTACTGTAATAATCCCCTAGTACCTGGTGTAGGTAAAACCGAGAAAACCATGTCCCCCAAACCCCCCTATTGTATCCTAATGCTTCGCATCGCTCTGTGCTTCGCAAACCACCCAAAGGTTGTTCAAACAAAAGAAAATCAATCCAACTCCCCTCGCAATGCCATGGTTGTGTGTGATTGTTATATACAACTCTCGCAGACTTGTGTCCGCCCAGAGATTAGTGTGTAGGTAGTTGGTCAGTCGAGGTATTGTAGATCTGGGATGGCCCTCGTCTAGTACATGACACTCTGCCGCCATCGTTCGATAGACTGCATCTGCCCATTGTGGCCAGGTTGCATAGGCATCTGCATTTGCTGCATCGGCATAGGTGCCATACCCTGCTGCATGCCCATGGGCTGCATCTGCATCGGTACACCCATGCCTCCGCCGTAGGGGTTCATGCCGTTCATGCCTCCCATGTGATTCATACCGCCCATACCGCCAGCAGTGTAGCCTCCGTATCCGCCTAGATTTGGCTGGCTCATCTGAGCCATACCAGGGTTTCCGTACACTTGATGCTGCTGCTGCATAGGCTGCTGGAAAGGCCCTCCGTAGTTGCTCAAAGCCATGCTGGAGCGGTTCCATCCGCCAGGTCCCATATTGACACCTAAGCCAGCACTGACAGGCGGCAGCCCAGGCTGCGCAAGGAGACCTCGAGCACCCGGCCCACCGCCGCTACCTCCGTTGGCGTCGTTGAAAGCGCCGTTCTTATAGCCGCCACTCCGCTGATTGTTCGGCCCGGTCAGGGTCTGCGGCATCTGAGCGCGGACTGCGGCCATCTTGGCCTCCTGTTCCCGAACCTTGCGCCGCTCCTGCTCGAGGCGGCGCTGCTCGTCCAGGGCTGGGTTGTAGGCAATCGGGTGGGAGTTGAGGACATCGGCTAGACTGTGCTTCTTGCGCAATTGAGGTGCTTCAGCCTCAGCCTGGACCGGCCCGCCGCTGAGCATCATCTCCTGCTCACGCGCCTCGCGCTCGGCCTGCAGTCTCTTCCTACGCTGGCCAAGCGTCTCCTCTCCCTCCTCTGGCTGGGCCTCCTTCTCCTTGCCCTTGTCTCCAGGTTTCTTCTCATCGTTATCGCCAAACTGGGCTAGGATCTCCGCAGAGAATGCTCGACTGACAGGGCGGGCGTTGGGAAGATTGTTGTGCTCGGCTTCGTCCTTGGCTCTGAGGCGTCGCATACGCTCTCCGAGAGTCTCTCCAGCGATAGCTTCGTCCTCTGACTCCTCCTCGGGCCTCAAGTGCTCGACAGAAGGCATCTGGTTGAGACGCATCTGGCTCAGACCGGCGTTCAGGGTGAAGTTGCTCCTCTGCTTAGCCAATGTCCTCGGGGGTTCTTGGCCGTGGAGACGTGCACGGCGAGCACTAAGAGGCTCATTCTCTTCCAGGTCGCGACGCTCCATCAGACCCATAGGTCGATTCTTCTCGGCCACATGTGGGTTGCCGGCGTACAAGACGCCAAGCGGAACCTCGTCTTCGTCGGAGCCGTGGTCCTCCTCCTTGGCGCCGTCAACTTCCCAAGCAAGGGCAATCTTCTTCTTCTCACGGTGCCTCTTCTGCGTCTCGGCAACCGCGTCCAGCTCGATGAGTGTCGCATGCATGCCGTTCTGCCCAACGTTACGGTTCGGGTTCTGAGTGCGCATCTTGGCGTGGTACTTGCGCAACTGCAGCTCAGCGAGGAGGGTCGTAGGAGGCCCATCGAGGATTCCAGCAAACTCATCGACTTCCTCTTCTTCCTCTTCCTCATCTGAACCCTCGCCCTCGGCCTTTTCCCTATCCTCACCGTCGACGTGATCAGAAAGAGCTTGGTTCTCTTCTCTGCTACCAGCCATGGAATTCTTCCTGGATCCATTGTCGGACTTCTTGCTGAACGGCATAAGGCCGCCCTTCTTCTTCTGCGACGCGGCCCGAACATGCTCTTCGGGGAGCAAGACGGTGGCGGTAGACTTGCGGTTCTTCTTTTTATCGGGGCCGTACGTCTCATTGCCCAGCTTTCCTGCAAAAGCGTGGTCCGTGAAGGCACTGACTGGGGCATTCGCAGATGCATCAAGAATGCTGTCGAGCGTCGCCATTGCGGAGCCTCCCTTGACCTCGATCTGCGGTGTTGTGGACGGTAAATCGAAAAAGGCGCTCGCGCGGAGTTGTGGCGGCAGGTTAGAAGCCCTTGGCATCTTGGACTTGCGGCGTTGCGTTGGCGGGGGATCCTCTGGCATGTGTTCGGGTTCTTCACCACCACCAACAGCAGCAGCACCATCACTCGACAGCAACGGGTCGCCCTGTTCGGACGGCACATGAGAATCGACCGCAGCAGGTTCTTTGAGCGATGCGTCACCCGAACGCTGTCCCTCAATATCGTCGCCAAAAGAGGACATGCCGTGGCCGGCCAGCGGGTCGGGCAGCCACATCTTGGATTCGCGAACCTGGGACGCCTCGGGGTCCTGAGGCAGGTACTTTGCCTGGCCGAAACCAGGATGGCCCATAGCCTGCAGCACCTTGGAGTGCCTCGCGTTCCGGACCTCGGTCTTTGGCTTCCTGGACAGCTTGGGCGGCAGGTTGAGCATGGCGGGCACGCGAGCGGGGTAGTAGAGCATCTCTTGGCCGGTGAGCTCGTCAAAATAGGACTGTGGCCGGATGGTGTTCCTGTTGTTTCGTGGCATACGTGGCGGCGGTGCTTCGTACTGAGGCTCTGGGATGTCTGGCATCGGCATAGTGTGCGGGACGGGCATGGGCGCGTCGCCGTATTCGCTCTGCTCACGCGAGTCGTACTCGCTCCGCTCGAGGTCTTCGGGCTGGCAATGCACGCCGTCAAAATCCCCAAAGGCATTGGTGTGGTCAAACGTCGATGTCGATCTCGGCGTGGGCGGTCTGTCGTCAGAGTCTCGCCTGCCGCTGTCTCCGCCAAAGTCCAGGCCAAGGCCTCCAGAATGCTGGTCCATCTCGCCAAGCAAGTTAAAGACACTGCCACGGTTCTCTTCGTTCGTATTGGGACGGCGGATAGTAGCGTCGTCGTCGGCTGTCACAGGGATAGGGGCGTGATCGGCTTCGTCAAGAACACGTCCAGTCAGAGCAACAGGTTCCGATTCGGCGATCTCAGCAAGGGAAGGCTTTCCAGAGCGGGCACTCCTGGTAGACCCCTTGCCAGAACCGTGTCGTGACATGATGGCATCGACGTCGATTTCGGGGCGGCCGCGTGAGTTGTTGGAGCCGGAGCGCAGGCGGCCGGTCAAAGAGTGATTGGGAGACATGACGTAGCCGCTGGGAGAGTAGCCGCCGAGGCGGGCGTTGTTGTTGAGCTCGACGATGGAGGCGACGGGAGGGATGACGCGAAGGGGACCGGGTTGGGCCGAGGATTCGTCGATGGGGGAGTGGGATGCGGCGAGATTGGCAGCAAGGATGGAGGAACGGCGGGAGTCGGAACGCTTCAACTCTCCATGCAAGTCGCGGATGGCGTCCTCGATGGAGCTGGTCATGGACAGGCGCTCGGCCGACTTCTCGAGAGCAGCGACGTTTGTGGTATAGGCGCCGGAGCGGCAGTTGAGGTCCGGAACGGGGTGTTTGAGGGTGAAGGTGCCCGAGTCGGATATTGTACGAACGATTGGTTGGGCGACGGGACGAACGAGTGTAGATGCCGAAGAGGCGTGGTGATGTTGCTGCTGCTGCTGCTGTTGCAAACTGTCCTGGATTTGGGAAATGAGGCTGCTGTTGGACCGAAGGGACGAGGTGGAGATGTGACGGGCGAGAGCAGCAGGGGCGGAGAGGACAGTCGAGGAGGGTGAACAGGCGGCAAAGGAATTGGAGGTGGTGGTAGAAGTCGAGGTTGCCGGGCTCGTGATGGTGCCAGTTGCAGCAGCAAAGGATCTCGTATTGTGGTCGCTCGTATTCAGGTTGTCTGCGGTGGTGGTATTGATATTTTTCGTACGAAGGGCCAACAAGGGGGCAGACGCAGACGCAGAGGCCATGACTCTGCCCGTGGGCATCGGCTGCTTCTCCTGGATGGCTGCTGTTGGCGCTGCCGCTGGCGCTGGCTGGGGGCCCTGTAGCTCGAGGGACGTGCTGGCGCCATCCCTGACGCTACCGGCAGCCGTGTCCTTATCGGATCCCGTATTCCTATCGTTACCGACCTTAGGTAAGATGTTCTTATCGGTGCCCGTATCGTTATCGCTGTTCCCTTTTGGGTTGTTGGTGTTGGTGGTGGTTCCTGAAGTGGTCGCTGTCGTGGAACCCGTAGCAGTGTCGGTAGACGCTGCAGCAGCAGCGGCAGCGGCAGCGGTACTGCACCTGTCCTCCAGCTCCATTTCCATCTCTTCGTCTTCGGGCGCCCTGCCTCCCCGTCCCCTCCCCCTGTTCACCTGCAGCGGATCTAGCGACAGCGGCGTCGACCCGGCACGGCGCTGGCGCGGGCTCCTAGACGAAATTGCGAATGGCGGCACCTCGTCATCTTCGTACTTTTCGCACTCTTCGTCTTGATCCACAGCATTCCTTGATCCTGCCTCTGTGCTGTGACCGTCACCGTCCTCCGTTTGACTTTTTCTCGAGTGCGACCCTGGCCGCCGTGGCCGACACTCTATTTCCGTCGTATCGCGTGCGCCCGAGACATTCCTCTCTTCGTCTACGTCTGCCGCTGCCACCATTCCTGTCGTTGCCAAAGCCGTTCCCTTCGCCGCATGCGATAGTGTTTCTCCATGTAAGCTTAATCCTGAATATGCTTCTCCCGACCTCGACCTCGTCCTAGTCTCCTGAGTATGCGCTGCCATCGTCGTCTCTGGCGGTGGTGACGTCGACCTTTGCTGGTCGCGGTCGCGGAATCTCGGGCTACCCGTCGTCTTGCGCTCTCCTACCGCACTACTGCTGCTACCGCCAAAGCTCAAGTCGAAATCGCGATCGGGGAATAGGTCGCTGTCCATGGATAGAGGCGTGAAGCTCTTGTCGGCAAGAGACAAAAAGTTGGCAGGACTGGGCGTTGCTGTGGCGGATACGGACGGCTGCGACGACGAGGAGGCCAGGTCCTTTGTGTAGTCTCGGTCTTGTGCTCTTGTTTTCGTTCTCGTTTCCATTCCCATGCCGCCAACTGCTGCTGCATCTGCGTCTGTGTAGTCTGAGCCCATGGACGACGTCGAGGACCTGCGCACCGAGGCATAGCCGGCGTGCGCCATTGCTGCGATGGAGATTCAAAACGAGGTTTGGGCGCAGCAGAAAATTATAAGCACGGTAAAATGTCGAGGTTATTTACTTGGTTTGCGACTTCCTCGGTTCGGTCGAGTCTGGGGTGCGTTCGTTTGGTGGGCGGTGATGATGGGATGGCGTTTCCGAGTCACGGTCCCTGCGTGGGCGGTGCACCTTTGTCCCAACACTGTTGCTCTCGTCTGGAGTGAGAAGTGGTTGATGCTGTTGCTGTTGCTGTTGCTGTTGCTGTTGCTCAACGGTGATCGAGAATTCACTTGGATGCGCCGACGATGGGACGAAGTCGTGGCGCTTGGGTTCTCGAACACTCTTGGTGTTTGCTCTCTGCTGTGTGTGTATGGTCTGTGATATGGCGCTGCTATTGGTGGTATTTGGTGATGCAACAATTTAACTCTTGCGTTTCGTTGTGCAGCAGTGAAATTGCTGCTGCTGTCGTTGTTGTCTTTTCTGCTGTTGTGGCTATTGCTGCTATTGCCTTTCTTCTTCTTGCTTCAATCTGCGAACCTGGTGACAGTGACGTAGCGCGCGAAACATGGAGGATCTGCTGCAAGTCTCGAGGGCTGCTTCGTCGTAGCATCCGGTACCAAAGAAGGCGGTTCGTCGGGAATGCGCCGGTGCAAGGGCCGCAAGTTTCCAACCCCGAGTGTTTCTTTCGTCGCAGAGTGCTGAGGTGCTGTGTCGATGGCGGGTTGAAGGTAAGGCAGGGTCCCGGTGGCTGCGCCGAGGGGGTATAAGCCGAATAAGAGACGAATCAACAGAAACCAAGAGGACTGTGAAGAAGAAGGATTGTAAGAGGCCCTACTCCATAGGCACAGACGGGGTATTGAAAGCCAAGATATCGTCCTGCTACAACCTGCGCCTCCTTCGCAAGAGAGAAAGAGGTAAACAGAGTATGTAAGAGAGCGAGGATGAGTGAGAGCAGAGTGAGAGCAGAGTGAGAGAAAGATGAGTAAGTTGCGTGTGAGCTGCAATGCAATGTCCGAGGACGAGTGACGACGATGGGGGACGGATGAGATGGGACGGATTCGGGAAGGGTGGGAGAGGGTGTGTAGATATTGGGCCATGCTATGGATGGATAATGGAAACACTGCTGTGTACTCCCACAAAGAGCGAGTGAGTGCTGGCCGGGTGTGGATGGAATGGACACCACACTTCTCGCTCTTCACTGGGCATATTCACCTGCTCACTCATTCACACCCACTGCGGTGGACTGGGGATGGGGATGGGGAACTCTGAACGGGGACGGATACAGCAAGGCAAAAGATAGCGCACGCGCGCGCTCGCCGGGCAGGTTCAAGGGTGGATGGACCACGGAGTACTGGGCAGCGAACAGGATGTTCCCAAGGTCTGGAACCACCCAATTCAAGGAACAAGGAACATGGCAGCACCAGTTCCAGGAGCAGCACCAGGAGACGGAGAGGTGTCAACCAGGTCTGGCAGATCACGGTTCCTCTCTCTATCTCTCTCCCGTCCCGTCTGTATTTCTCTCTCTATCTGGCTCTCATCTTCTTCACTTCACCTGAGATCCCAAGTAGGAAAGATGAACAAGATAGACGCACACGCCCCTCCGTTCAAACTTCAACCCCATGCATGGCCCCAAAAGATAAGGTCCAACTGCCTCTGACTTGGCTCTCTCATTTTTAAACAACGACCCCGGGCCACGCGGTGTGATATGGTGTACACGTGTAAAGTACTCCGTAAAAAGTGAGATAGTTTCCGGGGTTGCAAAAAAAAAAAAAAAAAAAAAAAAAAAAAAAAGAAGATGGTATCCGCAGAGAGACACGGACGGCTATCTCATCAAACGCACGCGCGCATGTCTGGGATCCAGCAAACAAATCGACCAGGGTGGTTGGCAGACAGCTACTGCGTAGACACACTTTGACAGCAAGCCCTTCGAGGTTGGAGATACGCACTGATGATTGACAGCTGATCAAGCTATGGAGTACTTTAGAACAACAAAGCAGCTCCGCCTTTAGTATTAAGGATCCCGCCTTTTTTTTTCTCTCTATTCATCGTTCTCAGCTGGTCCAGTTTGAACAAGTCCAAGTTCCAGACCATGTCGAATCCGGATTCAGAAACTGTTTGTGAACACTCTAGACTCTAGTGCGGTAGTGTATTACTGGATGCCGGTGTAGGGGGGTGTGAATGTGTCCCCATATGGAAATACGAGAAACTTTTGTACTGCGTAATGAGTGAACCCCAACTTACAGCACGTACGTTAGGACTGCTGCTGTATTTCCCCGTGTAATTTTTCCCACACGTTATTTGCTTTTGCTGGTCCGCGGGGCCTTGGTTTTTCTCTGGTCAAATAGCGACGGGCTAGTATGTAAGCGGCCTATTTTTCAATATGGAGGTCGCAGGATTGGATGGGAGTGGATGTGCCCGCCGCCCGCCGCCGTCAACTGCAGTAGCCGGCACTGGCTCTACGCTTGATTCCCCGGAGAAAGCCAATCTTCGAGATAGACGGCTGACGGACAGTATCAAACATGAGGAACAAAGATGAAGTCTGCGGGGAGGAACAAAGCAATGGCAAGATTCAACACCACACTGGACGACGGCACCTCGCCTGCTATACCTCTCCCGAATTCTTCCCCAGGTCCCCTTCCCCCCTTAAAAGTTTAAACAAAACGAAAAAGCTCAGGCTAAGAGACGTTTGACAGGTGAGCTTCCGACAAGGCCACTCCCTGAAGAGATTTCCCCCCGTGGGCAATGAGAAAAAGCTTCGCGGTCTGGAGGTAAAAGCCGACGAGGAGAGCATATTGAAGCTGACGCATTCTCGTCATCAAAGTGACAAAGTCTCCGTGTCTCTAAACTCTACGATCCTTCCGCCGGCATCTCACTCTTTAACATGCGCGGTTTTTTCTGCTGGATGTCGCTGCTGTGGTGACTCCCTTCCGTTCGCCGCCGCTTCAGACAATCCCATCCTCCGTGTCTCTCGGCGTTGCTTGGGAGCAATCCATTAAATTGGGTACTGCCCCTCGTCTCTCCCGGGTAACGAATAAAAATCACATCAGGGGAAAAAAACGCCCAAGTCGCAGAAGAAGAAACGACAAGAGGGTTCTTCCCCGTCAGGGGCGCGCAGCAGCAAGGCACACGACACGCAGCACAAGCAGGGATATTGTCTTGGGCAGAGTACGAAAAAGGGAAGGGAAAAAACCTTGGGTACGGAGGTACAGAGAAATTCGTACCTGTAAAACGTGGATCACTCTTGATCACCCCCACCACCAATGACTGGCCCCGTAAGGATGACGATGATGTCGTTCCTGGATCCTTCTTTTCTTTTTTTCCGCTCTTTTTCTGCGGTCCCGCTCGCGCTATTGAAGACGAAGGGTTCAGGGGTTGATGGACGGCCTTGACGGCTCATGTTCTGCCCCATCGCGTTGCCTGGGAAGAAGAAGAAGACGAAGAAGGGCGGTACCGGATGATCGGATTACCGAATGGGTTGCTAGACGCGCGGAAAATGAGGCGAAAACATACCACTGAGAAAAGGATTGTGAAAACAAACTTCGGGAGATGAGATGACAAGAGTCAAGTAAAAAAGGTTTTGAGCCAATTTCAGATTTGTCCAAGCAGAGCAATCTTTTACTCTATTGGCTTGTGGAAAGCCAAATGAGACGATAACCACACCAATCGACGTCGAAGGATGAGCGAGAGAAGAGTTGCTTCGCATTATCTGTACCCTCGATATCGTGGCTGATGATTGTGAATATGAGACATGAGCTAGCAGCAGCCGGTGATGTGATTGAGTGAGTGAGTCTTAATATTGTACTCGTACTCCGTAGTTCGCATGAGATGAGACGCAATGTGACGGACTTATCAGCAAGAAAGAAATACACCGAGACCGGCGTCAATCCAGGGAAATTAGCCCTCCCAGAGTTTGAAGCGATACAAAGCACTTCGAGCAAATCATCAATCTTGATCTCATCTTCCTTATCACAAGAGAATAGCCCCCAATAGGCAATGGTCGGTCAGTGTCGCAACGTAGCGGTAGCCCCCCGCGCTTGCGCTTACTTCCTTAGTCTCCGGCCTGCCATCTCATCCCAAGAGAGCCCGGCCGACGCCACATATTGCTGTCCGGAAACTCTGAGGTTCAGGTTTTCAGAGCACTCCCCTCCGTACATGAATGTACACTGCTAATGGCGGCCTGGGGCTGAGAAGCATGGGCTGAACAACGCATGCGGACCCAACGGAGTTCACATTGACGACCAGGCGGCCAGTCTTCCTTTTCGTCGCTGGTCACTCGAATGTCTCGGCTGTTCAGCCTGGCGTGCGTGCGTGCGTGCAGCATCTAGGCAAAGCAAAAAAGGTCGCAGAATCGCAAAGAAAAGCCGAGCCGGCTGGACGCTCCGGAGCATCATGTCTTCCAGGCCCCCGGAAACCTTGGCCTACATCACGGTAACGGGCATGAAGAGCAGAGACGGGACTCTAAGATGGGACTCGGAGGGCTCCAGACGAGTCTCCAAGCTTCCCAAGCCCCGGTAGCCAAGTAGTTCCCCAAGGAATAGCGGATATCATACGCGTGTAATTGGGTCTCACTTACTCACACCTCTTTACTCGCCCGTCAACACATCTCCATGATCCATCCAGTGCATCCGCATGATGCGTCTTTTCCTCCGCAGAATCCGAGAGAGGCCCCCAAACCCACATATCAACTTCCCGAAACCTCACAAGACACACCAAAGAGTGGGAAACCCCAGTGCCCCCGATTTCATGCCTGTGAGAATCCTTCGCTTCCCACTTTGCCAGCTCCCAAGTTCCCAGCAAGTGCAGACAATCCCCGACATGAGGGAAAATATCCTCCGGTGCCGAAGGCCGAAAAAAAAGGCATGGCAAGGGGTGAGAGGAGGAACTAAACATGCTAAACTAAGGCAACAGATGCTCAAGTGGGCAAAAGGCACGTCCGAACCGCATACCCGCCCCCCGTTCCGTCCGTCTGAGCGTTTTCTTAGTCCCATGCCCGTCTACGCTGGACAAATCGTCATCCTGCATTGAAGTCTCCAGATTATAGGGTAGCGTTTCTCGTTTCCCATCCTTTTGGAGACTTTGAGTTGACAGCGACGGTTAGTCCCACGAAACCATTTACAGTAGCGCCTATTCCGGCCTTGCGTCTTACAAGTTGCCCGACGTCTTTGCGCCAAACCGGGAGGCGATATCTCGGCCGTGCTCACCGCGGACAGCTCACCGCAACATCGCGAACCAAGATCTCGATCAATCTTCCCATTCTCGTAAAGACAACCAAGACTGCGAAAACCTAGGGGGAAATCCAAATCGTAGAAAGTTTCGAACGCTGACACTCGGATACTTTTTCTTCTGCAACCACCCATGTAAGCCGGACCTAAACGTAAGGTAACCATAATCGCAAAAAACTTGGTCTCGTCTAAACTACCACCCCTCGTGATCCAACCACAACCCCCCAATACCACCCCTCAGACTCGAGTCGAGAGAGTTAAGCCAGCCAGCCAACACACCTCCCGGGCGTACCCCATGCAGCCACGCAGCCACGCAGCCACGATCACGCTGGCACCAGCAGTTCGAAGCCCGTAGGTTCGCAGCGGGGATGGCGTCGTGGCGTCGTGGCGCGACCACAAACACCCCAGACGCACGCCGCGTGGCTTTGCGCCTCTCTCTCCACATGTTCCCATCTCTTTCTGTGTCTCTTCTCCACAAAGAACTCATTCCACAAGGTTAAGAACCCATTGAGGAATGCAAAGAGTGAAGAACGCCCCCGGATCTACGCGCCTATCTATCATTGTCTAAGCCCGCAGAGAAACAAATACAAGCCGTCAACTATAGTCTATCCAATTGGATGGACAGAGAGGCAACGCCCCAAGACTCTTTCGATGCTCGGCTGTAGCCATACACAAGCCCATCATACGGGCGAGTAAGTACACTCACACCACCCCGCGCCGCAAGTCGAGAACCACATCGATTTCGTCGGCCAAGGACACTATCATCCGCCGGTCCGCCTGCTTTCGGCAACGGCACGCTCC